AAAAGCGTCAGGGTCTGCTTGAGGGGGCCAGCAATGGGACAAGAGGAACGGACAGGAACTGATGCCCAGGAAGTTCCACCTGGACATGAGGAAGAACTTCTGTCCTGAAGAGCCAAGAGAAAAGGACAAAAGTGTCAGAGGGAGCTGCCCCATCACAACAGGAAAAAACAGAATGTTTGTTCTCTCAGTCTGAAAAGCAAGGATGGGGGGTAGCTCCACCTTCACACACACCCAGGTCACTCCCAGCAGCCTTTTCCTCTCTTCCCTGCAGTGCCAAGACCTCAGGACAGAGCCCCTGGAAGGTGATAAAACATCCCCAGACAGAGGGGTTCTGCTACTTGCTATTGAGGAGGAATTTCCTGCTGGAAAGGGTGGTCAGGCCTTGGCAGGGGCTGCCCAGGGAGGTTTGGAGTGCCCAGCCCTGGAGGTGTCCCAGAAAGGCCTGGCCGTGGCACTCAGTGCTCTGGGCTGGGGGACAAGGTGGGCATCGGGCACAGGGGGGATTAGACGATCCCTCAGGGCTTTTCCAACCTCAGGGATCCCGGGATTCTGGGATTCTTTAACCCATCTGCTCTCCCTCCCTCCCGCCCAGGCGCTTCAGACCTGACGGCCTTCAGCGACCCCCGGGTGGGCATCGACCGCTCCTTCCCGGCGCTGCCGTCCATCTCCGACCCGCGGATGCACTACCCAGGAGCCTTCACCTACACGCCCACGCCCGTCAGCTCCGGCATCGGCATCGGCATGTCCGCCATGTCCACGGCCTCCCGCTACCACACGTACCTCCCGCCGCCCTACCCGGGCTCCTCGCAGGCCCAGGGCGGCCCTTTCCAGGCCGGCTCCCCTTCCTACCACCTGTACTACGGCACCTCGGCCGGCTCCTACCAGTTCTCCATGCTCTCCGGGGGCGACCGCTCCCCGCCGCGCATCCACCCGCCCTGCACCAACGCCTCCACGGGCTCGGCGCTGCTCAACCCCAACCTGCCCAGCCAGAGCGACGTGGTGGAGGCCGAGGGCAGCCACAGCAACTCGCCCACCAACATGGCCAGCACGGCGCGGCTGGAGGAGGCCGTCTGGAGGCCCTACTGATCCCCCCGGGAGCTCCCCGGGGGCAGGACTGCCGCGCTTTCCCGGTGCCCGCGGGCATCCCGCCGGTGCCCGCCCGCCGTCGGTTTGAGGAGCGAACCCTCCAGGAGCTGTGGCACAGGCCCTGGAGAAAGCACCAGGACGTCCCTGAGCTTCTGGGGGAAAGGAGGACGCCCCGGTTTGGTGGCCCGTTTGTCTGGGTAGGAAGGTTTGTCTCCAAGGCCCCGTGGCTTTTCCTGGGCTTTATGAAGGTTCTCCGCAAAAAAAAAAAAAAAAAAAAAAAAAAAGAGAGAAAGAGAGTGTTTCGGTTCACTTCTATTTTTAAGACTTAAAAACTAAAACAAAAAAAAACCCAAAAAACCACAAAAAAAAAACCACACAAAAAAAATAAAAAACCCATAGTGAGTTTACTGCATCTAATGGACATTTTAACTGTAAAGAAAGTATAGGAAGATTCCCAGAGGGAAACTGTGAACGCTCCTGTTTTAGCAATGCTGTGAATGAGAGGGGTTTTTTTATATGTTGGACTTCGTCCTTTCTTTGCTTTGTTTTGTTGGGGTGGTTTTTTTTTTAAACCACGTTGTATACTCCAAAGAATATGGAATTTTTTTATGGCTGGGGTTTTGGTTTTTTTGGGGTTTTTGTTTTGTTTTGTTCGGGGTTTGGTTTTTTTTGGAGGTTTTTTTTTAGGATGCAGCTCATCCTGCTTTGCATCTAATTTCTCTTGGCACCTTATAAATTGCAAAAGCAAAAGATTTTGCTCTTTTTTGTTTTGTTTTGTTTTAATCACGCTCGCTTCTTTCTTGCTTTGTCAACTGAAAGAATCAGCCCCTTTTTCAATGAGTTAATTTAACTTTTGATCTCTTGGACTTCTATTTTTTTTTTTTTTTTTACCACAATGGCTACAGCCTTGGGTCATTTTCAACTACTGTACTTCTTTGATGAGTTCATTGATATTTATGCTTGATATTTAGACTTTTCTTATTTGTTGATACTATTATTATTTAAATGTGCCTATATTAAAAAAAAAAATATCAGCAATTGCCTTTTTTTGGTAGCAGCCAAAGTCAAATTTATCCCATGGAAAAAGGCTGGATAACGATGGGTAAAGTGACCTCCTAATTACCTAGAAATGTTGTTTACAATTATCTCACTCTCAGCTCGCTGGGCTCAGATTCCCAAAGGCATTGAGGTGCCCAATTCCCGCTGGAAGGCACCAAAATCCCTGGGAATTTCAGTGGAGTCATCTCTCCCTACTGCTCCCACGCTTTTCCTTCGTCGCTAGTGGTGACCCTCAGGATCAGGGATCAGGATGTGGGTATTCCATGAGGCAGATTCAATATTACCTAATTAATGGGGAATTCCCTAATTAACGGCCCCGCTCTGCTCCTGGGCTTGCCTGGGCTTCCCAACGGCGCCAGTGGTGGCCTCCTGGTCCTTCAGAAGCGAAAGCCAACCCGCAAATCTGAGGGTGGTGAGGCACTGGAACAGATTTCCCAGAGAATTTGTGGCTGCCCCATCTTTGGGAGTGTCCAAGGCCAAGTTGGGTGGAGCTCTGAGCAACCCGGTCCAGTGGACGGCTCCCTGTCCGTGGCATGGGGTTGGATTGGATGGTTTTTAAGGTCCCTTCCAACCCAAACCACTCCATGGTTCATTTTAGGCAGGGCACAAGCCCATCAGATGTCACTGTAAAGTTTATTTTCTATGTGAGGGCACTGTTTGATCGGGAGGGTTTGATCCGAGGGCAGTCCTTGTGCTGCTCCTCGAGCCCAAACTGCCGATGCTGCGCGTCCCAAACGAGCTGATTGTTTATTTAATGTACCTCTTGAAACGAGTGAAACCAATTGCAGGTCAACTCAGAGAGTTATTTGAAAGCAGGGCTTCAGATCAGTGTTTGATGTTGTAAAAAAAAAAAAAAAAAAAAAGGAAAAAGTTAAAAGGATTCGAATTAAAAAGATCCTTGGCTGCAGGCAGCAAAACAGCTGGATTTATTTAAAACCATTTGTTTTTCGAGATTTCTTTTTTTTCTTTTCTTTTTTTTTTATGTGTATATGATTTTGCTTCTTTGTTTAAATCAGATGCAGTAGCACTTTGGTGTTGAAAAGTTCCGAATCGAAGACTTTACCTTGTCGATAAGGTCATTTTTTTTTTTTGTGCAGAAAACAGGGAGTGTTTCAAGAGACCCCCAGCAAATGTCCAAATTGTTTCTGATAAAACACACACGTGGCCTTGTGCTTCTCATTTAGTGGGACATTCTTTATCATTTCCCAGAGTTTGCTCCAAACCAAAAAAAGAGGCAGAAAACCTCAAAATTATATCAGAATACTTAAAAATATATTTTGGAAGTCTGAAAACCTGGCTGAATGCAGAAATGCAGAGACTTTACCTGTTGTGGCATTTCCACAGTTGGACTCTTCACCTCTTCAGCAGCCTAAAAAAAAAAAGAAAAGTCCTTCATCACTAAAGAGCAGCTCTTGGTGCAGAATCCATCTCACACGTTCTCTGGGGCTGGGCAATTAAAATCTGCATTTGTTACAGCTCCCACATCTGCCTTGTGACTGGACCACCCAAGTGCTGGGAGGGGAACCCAGGAGGGAGGGAGAGGAGCTCGGAGGAGGGAAGGGCTGCCATGGCCAGGAGACTTGGAGAGGGATTTTCCCCAAGGGCACGGAGTGACAGGACAAGGGGAATGTCCTTAAGCTGAAGGAGAGCAGGGTTAGGTGGGATATTAGGAAGGAATTCTTGGCTGTGAGGGTGGGGAGGCCCTGGAAAAGGTTGCCCAGAGAAGCTGTGGATGTCCCTGGATCCCTGGAAGTGTCCAAGGCCAGGTTGGACGGGGCTTGGAGCAACCTGGGCTGGTGGAAGGGGGTGGAATTGGATGGTCTTTAAGGTCCCTCCCAACCCAAACCATCCTGGGATTCTTTGAGTTCAGTCCAGTGGCAGAAGGGAGGTTGTTGAGATCACCAAAGGGAGGTGGTTGTGGTCACCCAGGTGAGGTTGTTGTGGTCACCAGAGGGAGGTGGTTGTGGTCACCCAAGTGAGGTTGTTGTGGTCACCAGAGGGAGGTGGTTGTGGTCACCCAAGTGAGGTTGTTGTGGTCACCAGAGGGAGGTGGTTGTGGTCACCCAAGTGAGGTTTTTGTGGTCACCTGAGTGAGGTTGTTGTGGTCACTAAAAGGAGGTTGTTGTAGTCACCAAAGGGAGGTGGTTGTGGTCACCCAAGTGAGGTTTTTGTGGTCACACAAGTGAGGTTGATGTGGTCACCCAAGGGAGGTTAATGGTCACCACACTCCCAGGCCTGTGGGTCACCACAACCTCCTTCCTGCTAAAGCCCTTTGCCCCTTCTGGCCACCAGTATTTCAAACCACCCACTTTTGAAACTAAAAGATCAGGATTCCCAAGAATCCAAGAGCTGGGCATCCCTCAGCCTGGACATCAGAACATTTTTTACGCCTCCCCATCCACTTTCTCCACACTTCTCCTTCAGCTGAAGCTCAGTTTTGCTCTCCCTGGTGTGAAGGGGGTGAGGAGCTACAGAACTGGTCACCACACTTCCCCAGTGTCTTACTGACACTTCACTGGGATTTCCCACTCTCTCCCTCGTGGGGATTTCAAGCAACTCAATTTTGGAGTCCAACCTCCCTGTGCACGTCAAGCACAGCACGAAGCATCACCCCCTCGAGGGAGGAAACAGCAAGTTCATTATCCCTGGCAATTAATCTGGGCAATCACTGTGGGTTTCAGTGTTTGTGTAAACCACAGTTTACCCAAATCTATATTTTTGTAGCCACCCCACAACCCACCAAGGACAAGCAAAGATCTTCAAGGTGGTGAAAATGCCCTCACGTTGTTCCTGTTGTGTCTTAAGAGCACTTAGCAGGCAGGAAAAGGACATTTGGAGAGAACATTTCCCCCCTTCACATCTCCAAATCAGAGTATAAAAGTATAGATTTATATATGTATATATAAAATATATGTATTTATATAGTTTTATCAGCCCGGGAGCTGGGTGGGATTAAAAAAATAGAGCTGTTGTGCTGCTGGTGTTGCAGTCAGGGAGTGCTTTAGGTGCCTTCCCCTCCCAAAATGGAGCTCAGGGCAGTCCTGGCTGTCACCTTGGGTGTTCCTTTCACAAGACACAATTCCCTGTCCGGATGCAGCCACGTCAAACAGCTTCCAACCAAACACAGGGCCAAAGATGTCCCTCTCCAACAACATCTATGCTCATTTAAGAGCCTCCTGCTCACTTCCAGGAGCTTTAGTCCGAGGATGGGCGGATGCAAAGTGCACCCTCACCACGAAGGGTTGGATTTGTAGGATTGGGCCAAATTCTCCACTGGGAAGGAAAGAAACCCTTCCCTCCAAACCCCCCAAAATGTTCTCAATTACCTGCACTCTTGAAACCTTCGTTTCTGCTTTCTGGGTGACCTTTTCCATTGTTTGGTGTGTTTTGAAGATTCAGGGAGAAGTGGATCCTTGTTTTCCTGCCTCGTATTTTTATTTTTGTTAACCTTCGCTCGGTCAGTACCAACCACTCGGCATTTTTCTCCTCGTCCTAAAAAAGGGTTGCATCGACAGAGTTACTTGTATTTATGTCTGTAAATAGATTTCAAAAGCTTCATAGCAAAATATTTAGTGCTTGTAATTGCTCTGCCTTTTTGTTTTTTGTTTTGGTTTGGTTTTTTTCCCCCATTTTTCCGTGTTTTTAATGAACTTACCTTTGTGTTCGCTTAAATACTGTAGTGAGACTTATTTCTTTCCCCGTGAGTTATTTTTTAGGCTTCAAGATGAACTACATTTAATTCACTTTCGTAAACAGTTATAGCATGGTCTCTTATCCAACATCCTTCAGTTTTTGTTTTGGTGGGAGGAGAGAAACGAACGTGCAGAAAATCTGCGGGTTATTTGTGGGATTTCGGTTCCGTCTCCCCTTCAAACAAAAAGCTGAACTTGCAGGGTGAGGTGGTGAGGACACAGCAGGGGACACCCCCTGTCAGAACGGCCCCAAAGGGCATTTGTTCAGCATTTTCTGACTATGTTTACAAAACATTTCCGGAAGGGGAAAACCACCAGCTTGTGGAAGTTGCCCTTTTTTTCAGTTTTTTTTGAGGGTTTGATCAGAGGGGATTTTTCCTCTCGAGGAGGGAGGGAGGGAGGGAGGGAGGGAGGGGGTGGCTGCTGGTTTTTTTTTTTTTTTTTTGGAAGAAGAAGAAGATAGGAAAAGAGAATAGAGTGGATTTTTTTTCCCCCCCACTGCAGGAAGTCTCTGAATGCCAGGTCAGACTCTT